AAGCCTAGGTGAACTCCCTGGCCTACCTGAGGTGATTTACTGCAGGGACCCAGAACTCAGCTGGCAACTTCTGTGCCCTGAACAACATAAGCTCCCTTCTGCTTGCTCTGTACTCCCTCCTTCTTTTCAGGGACTACTACATGATCTCCCTGCTTGCCACCAGCGTGGACATTCTCTCGCACCCATACGTCTTTGGAACTGGCTGCAACAGCATGGACAAACCGAACAGGATGAGATAGGCTTAGTTTCTATCTGTAGCATACAAACTCCTCAGTGTCTTCAGGACATCAGACGATCAGAGATTCTCAGCAGCCGGAGAGTTCAGGGCCCCACAGACAACAAGCTTAGCAACACAGCATGCGTCCGGAAATATAGCTGATGTATGGTTTGTTCACTGGAAGGGAGCATGTGCTGCCCTGCAGACTAGAGCCTCTGTGACATGCCTGCTTCAGACTCAGGCAGCATCTGTTGAATTTAAATTGCTACTTAATTTTGGTACCTTTTGCCTCCAGCTGTGAATTAGCCCACTCATGAAAAGGTAATTCCTTTTTTTCAGCATGGTAGAAAAAAAGTATGTTAGTGCATTTTTATATACATACTATTACTTTTCAGAGGTAGCTATAAGTCCCCCCACCTCTGTGTGTGTTTGTGTATGTGTGTGTATGTATGTGCATGTGTGTGCAGCATGTTCATATGAATACATATATGTTTGGATGTGTGCATGAAGGCTAGACTGCCTCAGATGTGATTAATTCCTCAGGCAGTCCCCTATCTTTTTGAGATGGGGGTCTCTCATGGCCTGGAGCTTCCTAATAAGATATGGTGGCTGGCCATCAAGCTCTGGGTGTCTGCCTACTTCCCCTTACCCAGTGCTGGGATTAGAAAAATGTGCCACTGAAGCCAGCTTTGAAAATGTGCATTCTGGAAAATGAACGCATGTCGTCCTTGTGCTTTCGAGGCAAACACTTCGTTCCTCTGTTTCCCTCGAATCCCTGGGTTTTATTCTAAATCACATCTAATTTCTATCAGTGTGGAACATGAGGTTGAGGAAATGAAACTGGGTTATGCACATAGGAAACTCTCTCCCGGGGAACAGACTAAATTCCTGTGTAAATTGTTGGAGCCAACATCTTTAGATCATTTGAATGCTGTTAATCAGGAATCCATCTTTAAGTGTGGATTGCCAAGAAAAGTATTACTAACTTGAACAATGTTCTGTAGAGTTGAAATTCTGGTTACTTCCATCAGTTCTGCAATAACAGATACATGATTTAGGCTGCAAAGTGGTTTGAAGTGTAATCAGGCAAAGAAAAGTACTTTCAAGGAAGAATCCTTCAGCAGCTGCATTAAACAATCCAAACCCTCTCTCCGCTACATTTAACCCAAAGAGTGGGTTATAAGATCATAGACAGTTGAGTCTCAGTAAAGTCACCCAAACAAAAATTAAATTAATGCGTGTAAGGTTTTCATAGTCATCACAGTGGAAGGAAATGACGCTAAAGCCTAATTTCTCAGTCTTTGCACTTGGAAACAGCAGACACGAAGCACCGTTTCAGCATCCTGTTTAGTAATGAGTTTATTCTTAATTTAAAAACACTGCATTTTATCTTCCAAAAGTGGAGTGAAAAGATTTCTGTGCCGAGAGGAAGGAGAGGAGCACACCTCTTAATGGCAGCCACCTGAAGGATGATCAGGTAGCAGCTAACTTTTAATTGAAAGAACTCAGGGAAGGGATATGAAGCCAAAGGCGAGAAGAGTGTGGTCAGCCACACAGCTACCACCAAAGGTGCCAGGAATGTTCGCTGGGGAAGAGGCCTCTCTAATAAATGATGCTGAGTTAGCTGGGCACCACGCACAGACATGAAACTCGGTCCATTGTCTTTCAGTGTGCACAGAAGTAAAATTAAAAAATGGATCAAAGACCTTAACATAAGAACTGAAACTTTGAAACAGACAGCGGGAGCATAGTGGACCTTCTTCCGACGGACACAGGTGAGGGCTTTCTGAGCGAGTAGAGGCTTCAGCATCACAGAAGACAGAACTGAGAAATGACAAGTGATGTCACATGGAATTCAAAGTTTCTTCACCGGAGAGGAAACAGCCTACAGAACAGAGCTTTGAGTCTTCACCGGCACCCCTGACAGAGGTTTAACACCCACGTATATGAAGACCCAAAAAGTTACACATACCCTCAGCAAGTAATCCATCAGGGAAGTCAACATAGAGATTCCTTTTAAAAAATAAATAACCCAAAATCAGAGCTACCTTGTGACCCATCTGTACCACACTTGGGATTACCTCTGAAAGACTATTAGCACAACATGGAGACACCTGTGCACACACACATATTCCCTGTGGCATTATTTGCATAACACTATGAATGAGCCCAGGTGTCCATTGACAGATCTGTGTCTCTGTCTTTCTCTTACACACACACACACACACACACACACACACACACACACACACACACACAGAGACACAATGGAGATTTACTCGGCTGTAAAGAATGACATCATCTCATTTGCCACAAAGTGGGTGGAACTGGAGATCATATAATTAAAGACATAATCCAGAGTCAGAAAGACAAACATGTATGTGCTCTCTTATATGCGTAACCTCAAGTTACACATTTTCTATACACATAATTTATGTGATACACAAGTAGGAGGGAAGTATTTGGGAAGAGCAAGGGAACTTAACAGGATGGGAAAGCGGCCAGGAAACCCATGTAGAAGCTTATCACTTCACACAACGAGTCTACATCAACACGAGTTACAAAGAAGAGGGTCAAGATGAGCAAGACATGAGGGCATGGACTTTTAAGTAGTGTTCCATACATGTTTCTGATAACTGGGACTTTTATTGTTAATCTGTTTATGTATTATCCTTCTGTGGTCTTTGATGGAGTTGAAGACAGATAGTCATAATCATAGTTTTCCTTAGTTATGATAAAAGATAAGCTACATATAAGACTTTAGACTCACAAAGATAGGATAGATGATACTTTCTTGAAATCTTACTAAATGCTAATCGGACAAAATATTGTAACTATGTTCTTACTTGATAACTGTTCTGTTACATATAATTTGACTATTTTAAAGTTAAAACCTTTCTTTTTATTTAGACAGAAAAGAGGAGATGATGGGGAAGTCCTGTGTATATGTCAACAAAGCACTGTTGGCCAATAGGGAAGCAAGATAGGTGGGACTAGGAGTCTAGGAGGACTCTGGGGAGGAGAAACACAGGGAGCCATCATGTAGTTGCCATAGGGGTAAGAAGTCTGAATCCTTTTCTCCAGTGAAAGAAATACTTAGATTAACAATTATAGAGTAAATACCTAAGTCAGAGATAGCCAGTAAGAAATCAAGCAAACGGCCAACAGCTTCATAATTAATACAGCGTCTTGTGGGTAATTTGGGGACTATAATGTGGCAGAGCCCAGGCGACTGGTAGGGAAAAACCAAAGCGGCTGGCAAGGAAGAGGCTTCACTCAACATAGTGGTTGCCCTAACTAGACCATCTACTACTTTAACTTTACAGGCCAGCACCATTTCATGATGTAAACACAGGTGGACCAGTGTCTGCAAAGCTGTCCTCCTGCCTCATGTTCAGTCCTTCAGGGAAGCAGCTTGCTGGCCAAAGCTCTTTCCACCCGTGGTGGCTGGAAACTGTTATGTATCTTTCCTGATATACACCACCACGTCAAAAATTCTATCCCAGCCTTTTCTACCGTTCTCTAGAATGGAGAAAGTATGGTGGCTGAGAAGACCTGGTTAGAAAAATATGGGACGAAGGTCCCGCTTGAGGCTTCAGAAATACCCGATAGTACAAGTCAACTTGCGATTGTGTGTGTGTGTGTGTGTGTTCTTGTGTGTGTGTGTTTCTTCTTTGACCGCCTCGCCTTATATACTGAGTCAGGGTCTCACCCTGAACCCAGAGTTTTCAGATTCAGCTCCCCCTAGCAGTTTGCTCTAGGTTACCTCTTGCATTGGGGGAATTATAGGCTACGGCTGTGCCTACAGGCTTTTATGTGGGTGCTGGGAATCCAAACTCTGGACTACAGCCTTGCAAGGTTAGTACTTTCAGCCACAGAGCTATCTCCTCAGCCATACATCCGAGTTTTCTTCAGAAGTAGATTTTATTTTCAGAAGTTGATCTGTGAGCCACTTCTGCAATGACAGTGAATTGGAGAAAGTCCGGACCTGATGCCATTTAAGGCTGTTCAGTTTGGTGACAGCAAAGGTAGATCATTTTAATTGTCAGTGAACTTATCCACACTGGTTTCAATATGAGGTTCTTAAGCACTGATAGCAGTAAGGCAGGCTATGTAGCTCAGGGTAGAAAAATTAGATGGTCCATTGTGGGGTCAGGCCGACCTGCTGGGTGGCACGGCCCCAAATGGAGCCAGGAGAGTACACATTTATCCAATGAGATGGGGGTCTGGTTCTTCTGTAATGCTAGCATCAATTTTTAAAATAAAATTTGTTTTCTCTGATTTTCCATTTCTGAAATTCTGTTAATTAAACCCTTTACAAGTTCAGTGGATCAAGGCCAGCTGCTGGCTGGCCCAAACACCCAGTCAGAGTGAGAAAACATTTTCCTGAACAGCAAATGAGCAACTTACAAATAAATCTTTGGAATTTTTTTCTTATAAATTGCTTACATAGATGTCTTTACCACACACAACTGTAAAGTCAAAACAAAGAGGCAGAAAAGAAAAACTTCATAAAAACACTATCAGAGTGGTACCAAACCCCCTTTCTTTTCAAGTAGAAAGACTAAATATTCGTTCCTCCTACTCCACTTCCAGCAAGCACTATGCTGGGTTTGTTTTTCCCTGGACAGACACGTTTCCGTTTCTGACTGGCTTCATGGTTAGCTAGCTCAGCTCAGCACAGCAAGCATACATATCCGTGACGACTTTTGTAAGCCATCACGTCACAGTGGATGACAGCATTCTTGAAACTAAAATTGTCAGCGAGGAATTCACTTCTTACCTTGTCGGAAGGTTTGAAAGGATTTCCTTGCCCACTAATTCCACCGCTGATACTAAATCCAAGCCCAGGATTCTTTTCTATTCTCACACAGAACTAAGGAAGAAAAGATACGGAAAGTCAAAGCAAGTAGCCATTTGCAAGCGAATATTTCAAACAGTTCACTCATATTTTTTTTAGTGAGCCCGTGTTGATCTGGTGTAAACAGCACAAACTCCATCAAAGGGGTAAGGCCTCTCTATGCCGGGAATGAGGACCTACTTGTGGGCTGAGGCCACAGTGAAGTGGAACAAAGCCTTGATGTTAATGTGGACTGCTAGTGTTCACAGACAGGAAGCCTGTAGCGATATATTCACGTCTGCACCTGTAACCACGCCCAAAAGGCGTGGTCACTGTTACAGGCACCTAGGTGAATATACCGCTACAGAAGCCAGCAGCATGACCTGGAGAAACCTCAACAGAATAGATCTGGGGTCCTATGCTAAGGATGAGCTAGGGAGGAGAGAAAATAGTGGCTTTGCGTGTAGGGTGCAACAGGGTGACCCCAGATGATGACGGCCTTGTGACTAAGAGGCAGCATTTCGTTGTTAAATGAAGAGAAAATAGATACACAAATGTTAGACATAGAACAGGTGCTGGAAGCAGGGGAACCTTGTGGGACCAGACAGCAACAATGAAGTGACTGACAGGTCAAGAAAAACAATGACAAGGAACCCACGGGCATGTGCTTTGTATTTAAATAAATACACAAAAGAAAAGTTCTTAAGGATAATTGACCTATTGGCAGACTAAGCAGCTTTATGCCTCCCGCTCACACGCATCTTGCCTCTGACCTGTTAGCTGTGAATGACCAACACACACCCTATCTTTCTGTTTTAAACATACCTCTAGTCTCTCCTCCTAGACGGTTCAAAGAATACACAAATTACATTTCATACTTAATTAACATGCACCTGAGTTACCAGACTTTGGATGAATTCAGCTTTCTAGTAGCACGATACTTAGTGGGCTGTTCTCATTCCTAAAATGTATCTCTACTGTCTTGAGGGTTCACATGCAACACAAGGGCAAAAACCCACCCACTAATGTGAATTTTAATTTCATCCCATCAGTAAATAAATTCTTTTTTTTTTTTTTTGGTTTTTTACGAGACAGGGTTTCTCTGTATTGTTTCGGAGGTTATCGGTCCAGCCCGGCCTCGAACTCACAGAGATCCACCTGCCTCTGCCTCCCGAGTGCTGGGATTAAAGGCGTGTGCCACCACCGCCCTGCGCCTGGATACATTTTAACAATAGAAATAGTAGAGGTGACACTTGTTTCATAAATGTGGCAAACAGACTTCAGTTGTGATCTGCAGCTTGGCTATTCCCAGAATGCTCAGGCATGTCAGATCCATAGGGGTCTGGGGTCTCCCAAAGCCCATGGGAGGGAGGAATTCTCTTGTGGTGAGGGGTCTCACCTCTGCTGAGGCCCCAAGAGGAGAGAGAGATCCTCACAGGCAAGAGAGACTGAAAGGAACTGTGATGCAACCAGTTTTGCAAAAGGCCTGGAAGTTAGTAAATATCTTATTTAGTAAAAATCAGTATTTCAATTTTCTCTTAAGAGACGAAATGAAATGTCTGTCTAAAGCGGAGTGTCAGCTCAGGCGGCAGTGGGTTCTGAGACTCAGCCTGCTTCCTGGATTGAATACTTCTTGATCTCGCTGTAATTACGGCAGTGGGTCTTAGAGAAACATGCTTCCGGAGCACAGAAGGCTAGGTGCAAACAAGCGTCAGGAGACGCAGTGTCAGCAAGAGCCAGCTCTACCTAGAGACAGAGGCAGGTGAGTGATCATCTAGGGCTGAAGGGAGGAAGCGTGGAAAGTCATTGCTAAGGGTTTCCTTTTGAGGGGTAGGAAGGTTCTAAAATCACATTACAGTGATGGACACCCAACTGTCTAAATATTAATGTATAACTTGTACACTGTAAATAATCCAGTTTGTAGGACATAGGTTATATGTACAATGTAGTTAAAGACAGCAAGATCTTCATGACCGAAAGACAGCTCAGTAAGGCAGAGAAGGCAGTGTGAGCAGGGGATAGCGCCACAAGGACATTGTACAATTCTGTAATTGTGTGAACAGAGGCTAGACTCATGGGGACATCAAACTGTCCCATAAGAAACATATCCGGCCATCTAGGAAGCCAATAAATCGTTTAAGTAGAGGAGTGACATGGTATGGATTTCCTTTGAAAAGATAACTCTGGCAGCAGAACACATAATTGAGATACAGTGGAAAGAGAGGATCTAGGAGGTTTCAGATGTAGTCAGAGTCATCGGGGTGGGGTTGTGGGTGGTGAGAAAGGTGTGAGATTTAGGATGTTCCTATAGATTTGTGTTTTGGATCAGAGGTGGGCAGTGGGAATGGTGAAGTGAATCGGACACTTTTGGTCATAGAGTGATGAATAGAAGATCCGTGAATGGGGATGCGGAAGTCTGGAGGTAGGCGGGGGGGGGCAGAAAGTTAACGGCTCTGTTGACCATGCTTATCAAGTACTTGGGACACTTAGGTGGAGAAGGAAGACATAGCTCAGCCAGTGTGCTCAGACAGCTGCAGTGCAGGAGGAAGGCTGGGGACAGAGAGTCGAGAATCACGTGGGGCTGAACGCTGTTGCTGAGGTGACAGGGGATGTCCTTCTGTCTATATGTTTCTCTTATTGGTCAACGAGTAAAACACTGTTTTGCCAATAGCCAGAAGAGGCTTGAAGATAGGTGGGGGCTAGGAGACAGAGGAGAATTCTGGGAAAGGTAGGCTGAGGGGATGCCGTGTAGACCACGGAAGAGTAACAGGTTTGGGTACTGTCCAGTAAGCCAGACCACGTGGAAATACGTAGATTAATAGAAATGGGTTAATGATTAAGAGAGAGCTAGCCAATAAGAAGCCCTAGTCATCAGCCAACAGTTTTATGATTAATATGTCTCTGTGTGCTCATTTGGGGCTGAGAAGGGTGGTGGGACCTGGCGGGACAAAAAACTTAACAAAAACATTGAGGGGATGGTTTGGATAGACAGGCTGGATGCTGGGTCACTGCTATACTTAGAAGTCAGGAGAAGAGTCATCTCAGAATGAAAGGCTGTGAGCTGTCCTGGAAACAAACAAACCGGTTTCACGAAACATGGAACTTAGGAAGTAGTGGCTGAGAGATGCTTATCTCAGACTGTTCTTTCCTTTGCCTGCTCTTTCCTTATCAGCTGCTGGGAGTGCCTGTGAGAACCTAGGGGGAGGTTTTCAGCTGTTGGGCTGGCTGAAGAAGGCTGTATCATGTTAAGACAAAAGGCTTGTAAAAGTCTGTTAAGCTACACGTCACTCTTCAAAAGCTGCAAGGAAATACCACCTCGCTCTCCTAAGAATGTTGGCTATACACAACAACAAGCTGGTAAATGGTGGTAGAAAGAGAGCTGCTCTTGGGGCATGTGTGGGGACATAATTTATTATATCAATCAGAGAACAGAAGTCTGTTCTCTGGCTTGGCTGTCCCACTTCTTGGAATGTAGCCAAAGGAAGTGCATTCATCATGCCAAAGAGAAGCCTGCACATCCATGTTTACCACAGAGTTATGTCTGGATGGACAGACAAAGAAAACAGGAGGCTCACAGGCACACACAGTGGAATGCTACTGGACTCTGCAGAATGAAGCCACGGCATTTGCAGCAAAGATGGGTGGAGCTGGACCACCCTATGTGAAGTGGAATAAGCCAGTAAGTCAAGACAGGAAGATGAGCACAGGCTGTTCTCTTTCATATATTGAGGCTCTAGAGAAGCCAACATGAACACGGAACAGTGATTTCTAGAGTTTCGGTATTGGGAGGGCGAAAGTGGATAAAGAAGAAGACTGAACTAGGTTAGTGCAGTGTGTGTGTCTGAACCCCTCAAATATATACAACTAGAATATGTAAGAAAAGGGCAAAAATTTTCAGAACTTGCTTTCTTGTAGTTCATAATAAGTCCTTGTTTGCCCTCTAGGAGAAAAATAAAAGAAAAATTGTTTTTTTTTTAGATTAAAAGACAACAATTTAATTAAGGCAGCACACACTGAATGACTAGCATGTATGTTATTTTTGTCAGAGACCTTTACTTTTTATCTTTCCAAGACAGGGTTTCTCTGTGTAGTACTGGATGTCCTGGAACTCACTCTGTAGACCAGCTTGGCCTAATACTCAGAGATCTGCCTGCCCCTGTCTCTTGAGTACAGGGGTTAAAGGCGCTCGCCACCACTGCCAGCACTCGGACACCGTTAGAGACATCTGTTAAAGGAATATTATTTTCAGGCGTCATGTGACTTTTGTTTGTGCTGTATTTGTTTAACTCTGTGAAGCTGTCTTGCTGTGCCTAAAATACCTGGTGATCCTAATAAAGAGCTGAACAGCCAATAGCGAGGCAGGAGCAAGGATAGCGGGGTTCGCAGGCAGAGAGGATAAATACAAGTGGAGATGAAGCAGAGGGGAACAAGAGGACAAGGAGATGAGGACGTCAGGGGCTGGCCACCAGGACACCCAGGCACCCAGGCACCCAGGCACCCAGGCACCCAGGCACCCAGGCACCCAGCCAGCCAGCCAGCCAGCCAGCCAGTCAGTCAGTCACAGAGTGAAAAGATCAAAACCCAGAGGGAAAAGGTAGATTGGTTAATTAAAGACAAGAAAGCTGGCTAAAAGTGAGCTAAGCTAAGGCCAGGCACTCACAACTAAGAATAAGCCTCCATGTGCGATTCATTTGGGAGCTGGGTGTCGGGCCCCCAAAACTGGAGAGAGAGAGAAAAAAAATCTTACAACACATCGTAGTCTCCACTCAGTCCCACCATAAAATATTGCTAGTTGTAAATATTTTTCCAGTTTTATCCGCAGGGCCCAGAACAGTGGTGCAGCTCTAACGTACGGTTCATCATTTAGCCAAAACCGTGCAGTGAAATCTGTGTGTTGATCCTGTAAGTCGTGTGCAGTTGCATGGTGGAACTCACGGACTGTGGGGCTGTATTTCCGTCTCTGCTCCTCCTGGGAACTTACTCTTTACTGTGTTCTGGGTTACTGTTCCTCAGCCCACAACACGGGGAAAACAAAACCTCACAACACCAGGTCCTGATTCCCAGTCGGCTTCTAGGCTGCTATGTCATCACAGTCAAGACATTTTACTTCCTTTAGCCTTTCTCAGTAAGGCAGACGCTTGTAACCTGGACCACAGAACTGTGAATGGAGCTGCACTGGTGAATTCCTTTTGGGAGGTCTCAAGTATTGTCCTGATGCTTTCCTTCTCATGAGTGCTTGGGTATCTTTATGTTCTACACACATAAACACCTTATGCCTTGCGTGATAGATGTGCATGGAGGTAAGAGATGCTATCGGTTTATTTTTTAAAAAATATTTAATTTGTGTGACTTCTGGATGGCGATGACACCAGTACATTGCCCAGCTGGGACTCTGCAGAGTGCCTTAGCAGCACGCAGTGTTAACTGCAGGTGGAGCTGGGAGGAGCTCCTCAAAGTGGCAAGTCATTTGTTTGTGTTGCCCAGCACAGACCAGTAAAGGCCATCAGGATAATGCACTGTGAGTATGGTCAGCAGAGCTCTTGGGATTGTAGTCTGGGCAGAGGAGTGTGTTTTGGAATCGGGTCTGGTTGTTTAAAGGCTTTGAAGGCATTACAGTCACTGTTGCCTTGACCTTAGTATTCTGAGCCATTTCAGTCCAAGACCAAAGCAAACAAACAAACAAAACCCAAGAAGTCAAAAGGATTTAAGTCCATTAATACTAGTCTCTGAAGGCATCAAGTTTATGAAAGCTAATGGATCAAGACAGTCAAAAACCTATGGTGGATTCTTTCTCTGAAGCAATCATGATGCTGTAAACTAAATTCATGTGGTAAAAAGATAGTGATGGGGGGGGACAAAACCAACAAAACAACAGCCCGTGTAGGTATTAACAGGAACAGTTGGGTCAGAGAACTGGGTTGAGGACAGTTCTTGTGGAGTCAGCTATGAACACAGCCTGTGTACTAGGGCATAACTTAAACCTCACTAACTTTTTAGTCTCTGGAGACTCCGGAGCTACACGTCATTATCTGACTACAGGAGCTCGCTGGGCTTGTCACACACTAAATACAACACGTGGCCTGGATTAGGGAAAGGAAAAGAGAATTATCTTGAGCACCTCTGATTGTGAGAATGACTGATTGATACAGGGCAGGTGTGAGAAAGAAACAATGCTTTGAAACATCTAGGATCCCAGTGATGAATGGCTCTGAGCAACACACAGAGAAACGGCTGCAGAAAGAAGTTAATCTTCCCTGGTATGCAGAAGAGACAGCTGGCTACCACGTAAGCCTTTGGATAAGCAACGACAGCACGGACCCTTCATAAACCATGTGAGGGGTGGACAATACCGTGGGGCTTTGCCTAATAATCTGAACGAGGAAGTAAGGAATGTTAATCGCATGTGTTAGATTGTGTTGTCTCCTCCATCAGGTGAAATCTTTTCTGGTCTCAAGGAAGGAGAATATTCTACAGTGGAGGGCAGGTCCCGAATCTAGTCCAGACAGGAGAACAATAACTCATTATTATGGTTTTGCTACATTGCATTAATCAGTAGCTTTTGGAACATTTAAATTTTTTCTCCTCTAATAATTCCTTAGAGATTTCTGTACTCTGCACTATTCAACAATCAGAAAATCTGTTCTTAACCCCTTCCAGCTAACCTTTCCTTCACCCACACTCCCCCACTCAGGTACAAAACTGGGGCTGCTCAGCTGGTTCCCACTGCAGTCCCGCAAACACAGCCCCCAACAGAAAATAGGACTAAAGATGCTTTTCTGCAAATGAAGATGGGATAACAGTTCACCTTTCAGACCCTCCGTTTCACTGGGGGCTTTAGTCAACATCCCGCATTTGAAGAGGTTCTTTATAACCGGTGCTGAAGAGTTGAGTTGGGGTGGACGGTGGGAAGGAAGGACAGGACTGGAAAACTATTGTCATTCGCATGTAAAAGGGGCATTTCACCAATGTGTCACTGCCCCTAACCTCTGGCAGCAATGATTAATTCCTATCAAGAACATTGTGCATGGAAGATCATACACAGCACAGAGTTGTTTTAACTTCCTGACTGTCCATGGACTGTTACAAGAGCTCTGCTTACCTGCTCGGGATAGCCATCCATACTCCTCTGCCCTTTCGTTTGAATTAAGCACCGTCCAGGCTGAGGTCCCCGGGTGGCCTGTGATGAAGGGATCTGGATGGGCAATGGCGACTGGAACTGTTGGATGGTCACTTTGTTGACGTTCCCCTCATATGGCTGCTGCTCCCGGCTGCGGTGTTGAAGGCTCTGTGACCCCATCAGGGTCTGAATGTGGCTGCCTGCCTGTAGAGAGTAGAATTGTCAGGCCGAGTTCCCTGTGATCCAAAGCAGAAAGCACCAGTGTGACCCCATGGGTAAGAGGCCCTCACATGGGCTCCCAGCCCAGGCTGGAAAATTAGGGGTGCACCCATGGGGCTGGCGGAGATGTTGGCACCGGTGCAGTCATCTGGTGGTTTGCCGAAGATTATTGTATTCCTGATTTTAAGGAAACAAAATTCATCTGAAAGGAATCTCAAAGGAAAAGAATTCAAAACTTAAAAATAAAGAGTCGTGCTAGCTGACATTTTATATTGAGAAACAACCCAGAGAGATATGTAAGCTATCTTGTATTGGGGGGTGTCACATGGGGGGGACAACAATAATCCCACTCCCTCAGACAAAACCGTGGATTTGCTTAAGTTCCATGACACAGGTGCCCAGTGAACTGGCTCAGGAAAAAAATAAGTGTTTATTAATTTGCTACATTATTAGCTCAAGATTGGCATTAGAAGCCAATCATGTGATAAGTGCCTGTAAGCACCTGCCATCTGTGGGGACAGGAAGGGCATTTGGAATGAGCTGTGCACACCCCTTCGTTATAACGCTCTTAGAGAGTGTGGGAAATAGTTAAGATAGAACATCATCTAGAGGGAAATATTTTGCTGGATTCCAAACAAGAGGTAATTTAAAAAAGAAAATACTCCACTAATTGGCAACATGAATGCAGAACAAACAACCTTCAGATTATATTTTAGATGTCCGATTAGCTGTCTCAGAATTAGGAACTATTTTCTAACTCCATTAACATTAGAGATTTTTCTTTTTGATCATGGGGAATTAGAGGGAAAGTTGTGGGGGTTTTATCCTGTACCAGGGCCAGGTGCAGTTACCCACACGAGTGACCACAGCGTGATAACCCTCAAAGGCATTTTATTATTCCTCAGACTCATCTCTCTTCTTGAAAACTTCTAGGAACTTTGTCACTTTCCTGCAAGTCTGGAAGACTGGAAGTCCTTATGGCAAGTTCAGTTCTTATCTGTGGCCACGAGTTTTTCCTTTCTCTTGTTTGGAGATGGAAGCCCTGGTAAACCCAGGGTTGTAGTCTGAGGCTGTCTCCTGAATTACTTGGCATCGCCAAGTTACATGTCAGACAAAATGACCTCCTGAGGTCAGAGGAGACAGGCTGGGAAGGGTTGATTTCTGCATTCCTACCTGGTTCCCACCTCTACGCATAAGATATTTGGCACCTGCAGTGCCTTAATATATAATCTGCGTGAGAAAAACTAATAATGTCAGCTTGAAAGATACACTGCTGATTTATCTGGAAATGACTCTTGTCCAAAGGTGAAACACCCTTCTCTATTCTGCAGAGCTCTAACTTTAGACTTACGCTTCCCTGGTGTACTGTAGTTCTGACGGAGCAGTTTGAACTCAGGATCACACAGGAGTTTGACTTGTTTGTGTGTGGTGTATATACACGTTCATGCTTGTGTGCAATGAGTTCCAGGAGCTTTGTCAGCCTCTATGTCCCCAGTCTGGACTTAACAATTATCCCTCATATGTGGATTTTTTTTTCTGGGTACTGGATATTTGAACTCAGGTCCTTCTGTGTATGTGGCAGGTGCTCTACCAGCCAGTCCATCTCCCCTGCCCATATTTTTGAGGACACGCAGCATCTCCCACCTACTCGTCTCAGTGAGAGACACAGTAAATGCATTTGGTAGACAATAGCTACCATCCAGATGTGGTGCTGAATCATGTTGCAAAGCTTCTCACATGCATTACCTCCTTGAGTTTTCACAGCAACGTTAAGAGGTGATTGTTATTACTATTACCCTATTTTACCGCAGAGGACTCTAAAGCGGGGCATTAGCGTACAATGTTCCCGAGTTATTCATATAACTGGGAACGTGTCAAAACTAGCATCTGACAAGGCACCTATCATGGGTCACCCTCTTGATTATGGTATTACGCTGTGGCCTGGTCCCCAATCCCCAGTTCAACTGAGAACAGGAAAGGAACCATGCAGAGGACCCTCGGGGGTCTGGCTGGTGTTCACAGTCGTTTCCTTAGCAGTGGGTTGTCTTGGATGCTCTGCTTGGGACTCCAAGCTGATGGGTAAGCAAGCAGGGTGGCGCTGTTGCGATTAGCAGCCGCTCCCTTGCTACAAGAGTTAGTGAAGCTTCGTGTTCTCAGATGGGGAGCACGGAGGTGAGCAAGCAGTCGCTCTGAAAGCGGTTCTGCCTGCCCATCCATCCACTCTCCTGGGCTGTAGGCTGGGGATGGCAATGGCGGCTGCAGAAAGCAAAGAACAGACACCTAACTGCGTGAAGTTATACAAACACGAACAGCAAGACACTTAGAGGAACGGCTGTGGTTCAGAAGGGTGGAAAGGGGACTTTGTGGGTCGCACAAAAGCTTCCTGAAGCGGGCAAGGACACCGATAATGAAGGACAGTACAAGTACACTGAATGTCAGAGGTTGGGTTTGCTCATGCAGGGGGTTCCGGGAAGTAAGTCGTGTGCACACCTCCTCTCATTGTGTGGGGTGCGAAAACACAAAGGCTTCTGCAATGACATTGTGATAACGTTTGGAACGACAGAAGGAAACATAGGATTCAGTGTTTTTGGAGCTTTCAAGAGGAGGCTGGAGAAAACCATACATATTCCATAACAGATTTGGAGTATGGTATTTTCAAATTTACAAACAGACAAATAAACAAAAGCAAACAAAAAATTCCAAAAAACAAACAAACAAACAAACAAAAAACCCTGAAAGCCAAACCTCAAAATTTACAGGGGGAAAAACCTCTGATATCTACAGAACTCAAAAAAAATTTATACACAAAACAGAGAAAAGAATGTTGATTTGATACGAAATGCTATAACTCACCCAAAATTCAGCCCGAAGCTAACTGGGCTTAATATGGAAAACTATTCAGTGTTTAGAAGGTTCATGCAACATCAAAGAAATGTCTCTGTCACTACAGAGGTGGTTTCTGTGTTCCTCACAGTGTTTCTCCAGACCTGAGCAGGAGGCTGGGACACACACCGGGAGGCCCAGTTGGGCCTGCTTCTCACTATCCATCCCGGCTCTTGAACAACTGGAGTTTTCTTGGAAAAAATCAAACACAACTTAAATGGATGATAGCTCATGTCACTTAGGGTGTCTAAAAGTGCATGATTTATGTTCTAAATTTAAGTCCCAAAGAGTTCAACTATAGACTCACTCCCAGAGAAGCACTTAGTAACGCATTTAACAAACATTTTAGTAAATTTTGTAAAACAACTAATGCCCTTCCCTTTTTGAAAGCAAATTAGGCTTCAAAAGCTAGGCTATCTGTGTTTTTCTTCCTTGTAGATGTACTACACTTACTTTCACTTGTCCCTAAGTTAAATATAATAATAAAAAAATCTTTGGACATACAAGTTATCACATACAAGATGACTAAAAAATTAGAAGAATTTAGGAGAAACAAAATTACAATATGATGATGAGATCCTTGAATTAACTACATGGGAGACTTGGAGATGAATCAATGGTCAGTCCAAAAAGGTAAACTAATACAGACAAGACAATAACAACAAAAATCAACCCACAGGAAAACACAGTAAAAGATCGGTGAGTATGTAGACAGAATCGAAGTTGAATACCACAGAACAGGCCACAGCCTTTAGTTTAGCAATGCCTGCAAAGGCCAAGTAGAGAGACTACACTCTTCTTTATTGGAATTTGGCAGAGCATGTCCACATGGGTGTGAAGTACAATGCCCTCATCCCCAATAACCAAAGGCTCAGTAGGCTGCCACAGCACTCAAATGACCAGCACTCAACTGCCCCTCCCACCCTTCCTAATGGGATGTTGGAGAAGGACTAGTATAACCAGGCTTTCTCCTGACCCTGTGGCAGTAAGGCAACTGTAACAGAGCCTCAAAGGAAACCAATGGGGGAGTTGGAGTCTCCATCTCAACCTAGTGACATCAAGGATCCTTTGTTTGGGGGTTCCAAGCAAGGCCAAAAGGAAGCCTTCCTTTCTAAAAGCTACTTTTGTTATGATTTATTTAATTTCGTTTTATGTGTATGGGTGTTCCGCCTGCATGTATGTCTGTGTACCATCAGATTCCCTGGGACTAACTAGAGTTACAGATGGTTGTGAGCTACCATGTAGATACATTGGGAAGTCTGGGTCTCCTGGAAGAACAGTCCAGTGCTCTCAACCACTGATCCATCTCTCCACCCCAAAGTGTTTCTTTCTCCCCTGGGTTACAAGTCACATCCAATCCTTCCTCAACTGAAACAGAATTAGAGCAAATTGGCTAAAACAGAAAGACCAAATTGGGATAGAGAAATACCTCAGTCAATAAAGCATTTTCCCTGCAAACATGGGGACCTGAGTTCAGTCCCTAGGACCCATGTTTACAAAGCAGGGAGTGGTGGAGTATGTGTGTGTGTCAGTATGTGCTTGCAATTTCAGTGCGGAGGGGGTGGAGACAGGGGCATCCCTGGATTTGCTGGTGAGTACCTGGACAGTAAGAGACCCTGTCTCAAAAACAAAACTAAAAGTCAGCATCCTCTGGCAGTCACACACATCCATGAGCAAGTGCAGGCCCTATACAACGTGTGTGAGCATGTGGAGGACCTTAGCAGGGGACTGCAGAGAGATGGACATTAGGACAGAAGAAATCACTTAGTCTGAGTGACGTGAGAAAAGTCTCAAAAACATGTGGACTACACAGTGCTTTAGTAATTATATCATCAGAATGATGGGAGAAAGAATGTGGAGCTAAAAATACCACCAGAAGAAGTCATGCCCTGGGGTTGAGGAGACTTCTCAGCAGCTAAGACCACTTCTGCCTTTGCAGAGGACAGAGTTCAGTTCCCAGCACCCACATCAGGTACTCACAAACACCTGTCACTCCAGCTCCAGGGGATCTGATGCCCTCTTCTGGTCTCCGAGGGCACTGCACACACACACACACACACACACACACACACACACACACACACACACACGATTGAAAAGGA